AAAGTAGGAGTTTTGTGTACCCCTAGTGAAATCCCGTGCTTTTGTTAGTGCACAAATCTTTGCACAGGACAGTGGAGGAATTAACAAAGCTCCCTGGCAGGAATGTGTCCGCCACATTAACAATGAACATAGACCTGTGTCAAGTTTATCTGCGCCACTCGCACCAGTTTTTGTTTTAGAGTGAAATAGAAACTGGTGCAGGATCCGCACCTAATTAACAAAGGGATTGTGATAGTTTCCTAAATAGAAAAATGCTGCAGATGCCAGCCAAATTGGACCTGGCATATGGGATGTGTACAGTCTGCTGGTAACCTGGCAGACAGCAAACCTGCCTCCCTCTGCCTCTGCAGTGAACACACTCCAGAGGCATATATGCAGGAAAAGCTCTGGTTGTTGACCCCTGGCAAACATAGGGTTAACAGCCTTCCTTCTCCCTGTCACTCTCAGCTGAGGAGGGGGGGAGTGGGTGCAGAGAGAGAAGGAGCAAGCAGCCTTATCTGTATCAGTTTAGAAGAGTGGCACAGGCTTTTTGCCTCCTAAAAATAAAGTTTTGACTATCGATCCATTTTAGGAGACTTTCTGCGTAAAGGTCTATAGTCCATTTAGCTCTGTTTATATACATTTCACCTTTTATTAGCTCAAAATGTCCTTTAAATGTTTACACATTTTAATTAGGTGGTTTAATATTTTTACTAGGCAGCACCTATGGAGAAGAGAGACATGTGTGTCTATGAAGGTTTCCAGTCATCCAAATCATGAGATATTGTGGTAATAAATCAAACACAACTCAATATGTTGCTTATTCTTGAAATGGTTTTATCACTTATCCACGTGGTTTCTTCACTTCATCTGATGGGAAGAAGTTCTCAAGCATTTAATATGCCATGTGTAGTCCTTTCATTATAATCAAATTAACATAATGTCATATATATACGAGGCAGGTGTTAAAAGTGTTTCCTGGAGTAAATAATGCAAGGAACAAAAATACTTCATTTAAAATTAAATCCTTATTTTTCTGTATTTAGAGTGTAAAATACAAATAACATGTATAAAATGGAGCACTCAGTCATACTGGTAATGCTTCAGTCTATATAGATGTTTGTAGATTTTGCAATTACATGCATATGTACTGTATGCTCTTAAGACCTGACTGCTGTTCATCTTTGCTCCACTTTGCATTTTCTTGGTGCTTGGTGGTCCTAAATGATGCAGAGACTGGCCCTCTCGCCACCATTACACTGTAAGTGGAGGATGCTGTGGTGATGCCCTGCATTCACACTATGGGGTCTATTCACTAAGCTGCCGTTTCTCCCGCTCCCGGCCGCCCAGGAGAGAAACACTGTTTTTCTTTTTTTTTCCTTTATTCTTACATTGAGCCGTGTCAGAATAGAAAAAAATAATAATTTTGCCCATAGGAATGCATTGCTAGATTCCTATTGGCTATTTCAATTTGCAATAGCCAATAGTGAACTAGCATTGCACCCGCCCTCTGCTGATGGACCTGATGGAGAACTGCAGCAGAGGGTGGGTGCAATGCTGGTTTACTATTGGCTATTGCAGATTGAGAAACCTGGGAGAAGCTGGTGAAGCAGGTCCCTGTATAAAATTCTTTTCAGTACAGCGTTGCATGACGGAATAAATGTCAAAGTACTGCAGTGATGAACACTGAAAAATGGCCTGGTCCGGAAGGGTGGTATAAACACACCACTCAGCAAGTGGTTAAATTACGTTCAAGAAAAAACAACAATACTTGTTTAAATAATAGGACTTTATTAACATGGTGGTTTACATGTTTTTCAAGTAGAAAGGGTTGACATTGTAATACAAATTAAAATAAACTCTGTAAATAGATTTTACTTATATACATGAGAAAACCTATATACATTATGCAATATTATAGAAAACAACAGCATGCCCTTGCCCAAAGAAAAAAAAAATGAAAGTTATATTAAACAAGTTTTACAAACTGTTGGAATGGTAAAGAGCTTAGATAGCAGGCTGTTTCTTTATAACACAAAAGTTACATTAACTACATCTACAAACTTTAGCAAATGACATCTTTGTATGGTTCTTACTTATGTCATCACTTCAGTATTCCTTGGTAGTACTTATAACATGTAAAAATAACATACCTAATCCCCCAGCTTAAACGAATATTTGAAGTAACCTCGGACTCCTGTTCCTTTTACAAAAGCACTGTTGTGTTTTTTTTTCTAAATCCACAGACCTGTCAGTAATTTATAATATCCTTTTCATTTAAAGCATGACTACATCATCCTATATATATATATTTGCTGCCTTGCAAGAACTTCCAAGATACCATTTCATAATTTAACACCTGGGTACCTATTCTAAATATTCTTTGTTCAGCTAATTGCTGTAGTGCAACTAGTATCACAAAGTGTTAAACATGAGAGCAGGTTTAAGAGCTGGTACCCTTTTACAAAATGCAGCCCTTTCAAATGAAATGGAAAAAAACAGCTCATGAAGTGAATACTAGTGGCCGGTTTGTACAGTAACTAAATTTATGCTCAGTTCCTGCAGTCAAATTTCCAAATGTCAGTGCATTATAGAGTAAAGATCAGCTATTTCTTTGTAACTGGGCAACTACGAAGTAAAAATGCTCATAAACATATGATATCTGTCTCCTGATCGGACTCAAAAAACAAATGCACGCCTTTGGACAAACTGTGACATATCTCATGTCTATATATTTCTGAAAATGTAACAGGGATGATATACTGTTCATATTGTTTTTAAATATTACCTAATGTATGTGTACTGGGGTATACTAATGTATGTATAGTGGTGTGCACTTATCAAAAAGATGGTTTTGCAACATTTATGTCAAAATTTCAAAGAGGATATATATATATTGGACATTGGGGACTATACTGTAGATTTGTGAAATATTGTTATATTTTGTATTTATAGTTTATTGTAAAAAAAAATGTGTCTTATAATAAAGAATATGGAATTATAAAAAAAAGAATACACTGTCAAAGAAGATGTTTGGGTAAAGCCAGACAATCAACTTTAGCCACACATTAGAAGTTTTATATTTGTTACTCAGTCATTATAATATATGAATGCTGTATGAGCAGACTGATACGTGCCAGTGGTTCTTTGATACTGCAATATATTTTTATCATTTTAATGTAAGAGGAGGATTGTTTAAGTAATGAGACAAATCTGTTTTTTGCTGAGCTCAGCTGAATAATGGATAGTGGGGGTGATTTACTTTTATTGGTACAACTAAAAAGAAAACAGCTTTGTTGGGCTAAGTAAAATGTGTACTCTTTACTAAATTAACTCCAAAGTCTGTTTGCAAATCTAACTTAAAGGGGACCCAATGATTGAATTTTATGTTGCATTTCACAGATCTAGTTGCAAACTCTTTAGAGCCACTTAAATAAAATACAAATAAGTCAATTCATATGGGATCCAGATTCTCATGTCATTGCTTACCCTAAATTCATCTGCACTGGCAAAACTATGATGGGGGTCCCATCATAGTAACGGGGCAACCCTGCCCCGTTACCAGAATCTCCCCCATACAAAAGGCAAAACCTCCACTGATACAGAATACTAATTACTAATTATAGAGAAGCTCCCAAATGATATAAACATTTGTTTCCAAAACATATCAACCAAACACTTTTGCTACCTGCATAAATCATTGTGTAACTAGACAGGTTGGGATCCTCTATTTCTGGGCCCCATAGCATTTGCGTGGCCTACGTAGGCTATAAATACGCCCTTTTAATTATAGTTCATACTATATTTGCCTTGATTTTAAATTTTGCAATAATTTTCTATGAAGACTATTTATAATTTTAGCTTTCTTTAAATTTTGATTCACCCATTTATACTGCTTTTTAATTATTTAGCAGCTGGATTAACTCACATACACATAAATCAACCATTTTTTTCATGGTGTTTTACAGAAAAGGGTTTCTTAAGTCTATAAATGTATTATTTTAGCTATGCACAGATCAAAGCTTTGCTTAAGGTCAGACAGCAATAGTCAAACTGGCAGGGTTAAGCTACAAAATGAGAAATAAAAGAACGACGGGTCATATTTTTTTATAATGCATGTAAAACACTGGACCACATATCACCATTTCCCTTCTAGGTTACGAAAATAGACTAATCAATAAGGCAGTTGACACAACTGTCACCACTTGAAAATAACATGTCTGCATTGCATTACAGGGCATAATTGTGCTGAACGTTCTAAAACTTAGATTAAGCAATTTGTAAGAGAAGAGGGTGACTTATAATAATGTGTTTTCATTATAGTAACAGAAGAAGAAAAAGGAATCATTGGTCAGCCTCACATGACTCTTGACTGCATTCCAGATGCCCTAATACAATTAAATTACAAAATCCAACAAGGTATAATTAAGTAAGCTATTTCTTGTATCACTCTCTACCCAGAAGTTATAAAATCTAACATAACCACAGCAAAAATCAAAGCATTTATAGGATATGTGTTCATCAACCCCCTCCCTCATTGATTCTCTTCATCATGTTCTTGTTATAAAAAGAGGAAGAAAGACCAGATGGTATGTACATGCATAGAGAACTGTAATTCATAGATGTATCTCTCATACACTGTACACAGCAGCAGGCACGGCAAAACATCACACAAAGAAGCAGCAGGAAATAAAAATATGGTCATGGAGAAATGGTGGAGGCGATTCCCTCGCAGCATAAAGGTGACCACACCTGGAAGTGACCACGTTCAAGCAGATGCCTAGATCTACAAAGTCGACCCATCAAGCTTTTGGCCACTTTTGGACATCTTAGTAACTAGATATAGCCATTAATTTTTCTTATCTAAACTGGACCAACAGGGCCACAAAATATCCATGCAAGACTACCTCATCTTAAGATGCACTTTTTAACAGGCCTTCAGGCTTTACACTTTGTGAAAAAATGTAGCTTGTACAGCTGAAGGACTATTTTTTGGTCTTTTAGTTTATCAAACGAACAGTTGTGCCTTTTAATTAAGACATTCAGCAAACTTCCAATTAAAAAAAACCTTTTCGAAACAAAGTGGATTTTTCACATCTGGAGTATGCACATGAATGAAAAAAGTATTTGGTCTCTACGGTCTTTGCAGTTTTCCATGCAAAGCACAATACCATTTTCCAGTATTATATAGAAATGCCAAATTGCTCAAAATGTACTCCCCTCCTGTTCCTGCGCTGCTGAATAGTATTTCCTAGTAAAAGTGAATTAAACAAGTGTGTTTTGTGTTTAAGCATCCATTTATAGAACAGAGGACTGACAGAAATCCCCAGAGCTCGGAAAGCAATGGACATGGCACTATAGGAAAATATGAAACTAAATAGACACTTGGCATGGGTCTGTGTTATCAGGCAGAAAAATTACATCAAAATTGAAAATAATGGCCATCTGTAAAGCAGTTTATTTTCTAAAAAAGGTTCCTATTTGTCACAATGAACTATTACAAAGATCAGCAGCAACAACAACTGTTTGTACTGTGGTCCCATTATTATGCCTGATGTTAGCACATCCTTCAATCACTTGGCTAACTATGTACACACTGTCTAAGTTTATAGCTTAGTGGCATTTTAACTGCAAGCGAAGCCTTCTAGAATTTATTACTTCGCAGTGAAATATAGACCTCTCCAGCATAGAAAGGCTTCATTTTTTTCTACTGATTGGTATTAAAATGACCAGGATAATAAAAAGGGGACTGCTTCTATTTGAGCTTGTATCAGCCACAGATCACGGTACAAAATCACCACACACTTTCAATATGAAAGATTACAAAGTTTGCTAAAAGGTCAGAAGTGCCAAACTATTTGCCTTTTTTATCCAAAGTTACGGCAAATAAGACAAAAATCTAAAACTTGGTTCATTATAAACTTTTATAGGATAGAAAGGCTTTTTTTTTCCTGTAGCAAAAACTGATTGTAGCTGTTTGGAAAGATGGCAGCAGTATTTAAAATTGTGTCTCTGTGGAAAGTAAGAACCTTTTTTAATCTTTTTGATTTGTTTTTGTCAAAACACATGCTTCTACCTGAACAGTTATAATGCATTGGGTACAGCAAAACAGAACAGAGGATTTATTTAGCATATTGTGCATAGAATGCCACTTTTACTCTTTCTATATGATGGCACAGCTTAATGGCTGGGCCCAGTTTCAGTTCCATGCATTCTTGGACAGTGGGAAGAGTCAGCAGTAACAGAGCTTGTCCATCAATGTCCTGTAAGTAAATAGAAAAAAAATGTTAAGGTATTTCTGAAATCTGTGGTCCAAGCCTATATTTAAAAGATTTAATCTGGGCACTTAGGTGTTCTTTATAAAAGATGAATGGAAGAAAAGTCACCGGAACTCAATCCTTGAAGGTGCAAATTTACTCTTCTTTCCTTGATGAAGGGTTCCTCCTTCAAAGTGACACAGAAACAGTTGTGTCGCCTTGAGGAAGGGACCTTGTGTGGCTCTGAAACATTGGCTTTATTACCTATGTGATGCATTTATAATAAGCAAATAAACATTTGCACCTTCAAGGACTGAGTGCTGGTGACTTTTCTTCCATTTTCATGTGGATTCCCACTGCACCCTTTGTGGCTTCCACACCACCATATTCACTTTGGTTGCCAGGTTCCATGGAGTGCAGCTGGGATCGACATCACTCTATATAGAAGGTATACACTATACTAAACCTGCGCACATAATTTCTGTACTTCACAAAATAAAAGTTTTGGAAGATATTCAAGAAAATGTTGGTCTTAAGTTAAGTCTCAGAAGCTACACCTCCGCCACTCTGTTACAATAAAAGAATCTGAACCACGAAAAACTAAAATGGAGGCTTTGCCATCAAAAATGGAATGCTTAATACCAATAATTTAAATGATAAACTGTTTGCTGGAAGCGCTAATATTTTATTTCATTATTTAGTTAAGGTAAACTAAGAGCTAAACCCTGTGACCTTCCTATATAAGTAAAGAAAGCATCTTGTAAATGTATTAGTGCAAATGTCTTCAAACCCATTTATATAAAAATGACCTACTATTGCCTAGCAAAAATTGATATACTGGCTTAGAGTCCTGATGTGCAACATGCAGCCTGCAAGACAGTGGCGGAACTACCAGGGTCGCAGAGGTCGCGGCCGCGACCGGGCCCTGGAGTTCGGCCACTTGGAGGGGGCCCAGGACAGGAGGAAGGGGCCACTGTGTTTCTTCTTGGGGGGGCCCTTCATGGATTCTTGCATGGGGCCCTGAGGTCACTAGTTACGCCACTGCTGCAAGACAATGTATGGCTCGTGGTGTCTTGGATTGGGCCAGCCAACTGGAGTTCTGGGAGAGCCTCAAACGTCAGGCACCAAAGTCACAAAAAAGCAGCATGAAGATGCCACAGCTGCAACCCATTGCTGGCTGCTTCTTGTACAGTCCTAGTCATATGAGCTGTCAAGAGATTATGTGTGACTATGTGGGCTAGGACTAAGAGCTGAAGAGTAGAAAGAAAATACAGACAAATATGAGGCAATCTACATTCTACGTTTTAAATGAATAAATCTTTGATACTTTTTAACAGGTATATTTAATGAAACACAAATATGAGCAGGAAATTAGTGTGTTTTTATGCAGTAAAACACTTGGTAGCATGCTGCATTTGGCAGTCCTTTCAAATTGGATGGGCTGCAACGTACCTCATTCTCAAACATTTGCTGTTTTTGGTTGTTTTTTTGCAGTGTAGTGCATTTTTTAAAGTGCATTGGGGGTACCATTAAACATTAATAACACTGCAATGCACCAATTAATTACCACTTATTGCAGTGAGACACTAGTTTTTACATGTGCTACTGCAACACGCTTGTATAAATGGGCCCTATGGTATTTGACATTTACAACTGCTTTCTGCAATATTTTTAATCATTTTAAAAACGTCTTAATAGTTTTATTAACTAAGTCCCAGGTACTTTTAGGTTTTAAAACGAGTATATTTTGAAACCATGATGGGATATTGTTATTTATTATAAAAATATATAAAATATAATATCTGAACGTTTTTTACATTGAGCATTTATCAGGGTCTAATTAAGGTACAGATGGTATTGTGTGGCCTTTTGAACAAGTTGGGGGCTGCGCTTGAGGCCTTTTATATTCACCAAATTGACCATTACAGGATTAAAGTTTACTTAGTGTTCCAACACTAAAGGATATTGTAGCACACATCCAACATATATATATATTTTTTTTGCATAGCTATAGCTTTTATCCTTAGTAGGCTTTTCATGAGAATGGGGTAAAGTCACCTCCTTCTGTTTTTATATAGTATTTAAAACACTATGTTCCCTGAATGAAAAAGATGTGAAAAGGGAATTGTGAGGCTGGATTATACCTTTCACACTGTGAAATGACATCTGGGTATGTAATGCTGGGGTTGATGGATGGCATGATTCATTTTATACTGTTATAATTTTATACATCATATTGGCTTCATAAAGGGCCTGTGTCAATGAGCTTTTGTTGGCTTCAACTGCATTTTGCACAGAAGTCTAAGAGAAAACTAAACCCTCTTGAATGCAGGTCAAATGTGGGTCAGATGATAGTCAACTGCAGGTCAAATGCACCTGTCAATGAATTCTGAATGATCTCAAAAGCGTTTTAGACTGATGTCAAACTGATGCAATCGACACAAGCATGTCAACACAGGCCCTAACACTCAGGTGGGTTGACCATTCCTTTATACCTGAACTTTGATACTTTTCTGAATACAACGCTCCTGTTATATAAATGTCTTTATATTTTATCCAGGGAAGTAATTCATGTACCTGTTCTTGAAAGATTTTTGCTAATGCAGCACAATCTGTAGACTTAATAAACTTGACCACATCATTTACTGTCCACTCCAACGGATTGCTCTCTAGAATTAAACATTCCTCCTCCTCCTCTTGCTTCTTCTCCTGCGGGGACAAAGAGCAACATATCATGCAAATTATGGCTTTAAAAATAGAAACCTTTTTAATTTTATTACTTTATTGCCTGTAAAGTGTATTTCTACATTTGCAGCCAAATTAGGATAACACCTATTTTATATTTGTTACATGTTTTTTTAAATGCTTCTTGCAGTTTAAAATGCTTTTGCTTGGGCTAGAGTTTCTTGAATTTTCAAAGGTTAAAAATGTTGTGTACTCCTCCTTCTTTGTAATGTTGGGAGGGGCTGTGAGGGGTACGGGGTTAACTGATTACATGCCTGGCTTCTACATTATATGAGAGAAACACAATCCTCCAATTTTAGTCCCAAGTCTTTCTATAAGGACAGATCACTGTGAAGGTGCTCAGAAAAACCTGGAATCAGCCATGTTGTGTGCTGCAAACAAACATCTATAAGATAAATATTTTTTTTAAATCGTTTTTTTCGGTATGCTGTGTTAATAGGAACACATAACATATAGAAGGGTTTTCTCAAATTTGCCTGCAAAAGAAATACACCTTAAGACTGAACTCATGCCGTGCCTTCATTTATGCACCATTGTGCTAGCTCATTTCCTGTACTGAAACTGCTTAGTCTACTGCAGTAAGTCAGATATAGCCCACATCCTTCCCTGGCTGGAGGATAGCCAGCATCATTTTGGTCTATTCCCCTAGCCTTACTGTCCCTGGCCCATTCCTTTCATTTACTGCATTCCAGTTTTAGTCATGGAGGTCCAGCATCAAATGTTAGTTTTACCTAGGGCAGTCTGCATGCAAATGCAGCCTGTCGAGGAATTACCATTCCTCCAGACTGACATCCACCCATTAAGGCTTTTTGATATTTTCATAACTTCTCCCAAGAGCTAGCCTACTGCTTGCATCGGGGCTGAGGGTTCCTGAGAGGAAAACTGGGGCAGGGTGCTGTGATATTTTCAAAAATCTACATACTGTACCCTGCCAGCCTTCTTACAAGCCATAATCCACCACTATTACACAAATAAGAACAGAGACACATGGGTGATTTAATTGGGTCTACATTAAGGGAATGGAAAGATTTTATTATTATTGGAAAATATGGTCTAGAATGGACTAAGCTGGCCTGTGTATGTTAATTTCCAGAAACATCTCCAAACAACAATTCAATTCACTCTTGGGTTGTCCACTTAATTAAATTGCTGAGATAATGAAGTCATACACATACTCTTACTAAACTGTTCCATATACTAAAATAAATAAATCTTACATTTTTCACAGTTGTAGCCTTTTCTTCTTCGGTGTAAGACAGGGAACGAGTTTTCCTAACTCTTCTGGTCCTCTCTACTAGCGGTGGCCTTTCAAACCCTATACTGTTCCTTAGAGTTACAGCTCTTCGTGGACGTACAGGGGGAACTTCAACAGAAGAAGTATCTGTATGATCATCACGTAATTCAGAACTTGTTTCTTCACTTCCGGTGTCATCTTCACCTCCATCATCTTCAGCACTTTCCTGTTAATATATTACATAATTAATTGTTATTCATAAAAGAAAAACAAAAAAGCAGAGCTATCAGCAGTGTAGAGGACTTTATGGGGTTGACTTAAGTTAAATAGACTGTTCACTTTGCAAGGGAAGTTTCCACTTAGTTCAATGAATGAGGTGAAGCTCTATTAGCCAATCATGTGCAAGCCAAAATATTTTTTTTATTTTCCATGCACATGATTAGGTATTTTGTGCAAAGTGAACTTTCACCACATTCACAAGACCAGTAGAAGTACCTCAAGGGAAGCATAAATAACCCAAATTCTAAGGTGAGTGTAAACAGAACCAAAATATGTAAGGGATATCTACTCTATGGAGAATCAAGAAATATCTACATCCAAAAAAAAAAAGGAAAATCTATGTCTAAAAGGTTACTTTTTGGGTGGAGTTATACTTATCATAAATAATAATAATAATAATAATAATTATACAGGATTTATATAGTGCCAACAGTCAGCACTTTACAATATAAAGAAGACATTACAATTACAATACAATTCAAGACAAGATGGTAAGGAAGGCCCTGCCCATGAGGGCTTAAAATCTAAGAAGGGGCAAGTGATACATGAGGAGGTAGCCGTGTGGGGATGATCTGTATTATGCAATCTACTAAAATAGTTTTCATTACTACAAACAGCACAATGTACTTTGAAACTGATAGCAGATATCTTATATTTACTGTTGGATCAAAAGGAACTTAAAAATGCACAGATTCATTCATAATTCATACATCAGCTGACCCAACAGGACTGACATCAACCACAGAGGTGCGTCTCTTTTTCTGCACAAAAATGGATTTCCTTCTCTTTCTTCGTCTTATTGGTTTGGCTTGGTTGTCATCTAAACTTGGTTGTCCAACTGGTTGTTTAGATATTTTTTTCCGCTTTCCATAATAATAAGCTAGGTAACAATAGAAAGGGTTTATAGTGAGATAGACATGAAGAATAAATAGCATGTAATTGTTTATCACAACACACCAATTAATGCAGTTATTTGTTCAGTAAAATTATTAAACATAACTATAAATGCAGTGTATCTAAATTTTTCTTGCATTCAGCCTCTTGGGCAACACTCAGGCTCTGCTGCAGTGCACATTTACAGCAATGAACATGCTAAAAGGGTGAGAGAGCAAAGTAAGAAGAAAGATAACCTCATCAATTTGCTCCTGCTCATCCCCTTCTTGTCTATTTATATGAAGGGGATGTGCACCTCACCAGACTATGCTGTTACTGCGGTTGGATTGTGCTTTGCTGTGTTGTTTTGTAGATGAGTCTAGATCACAAACAGAACAGAAGAACAAATCCTAAGGTATCTATAAAACGCCCATACGTATATTTCAGCTGTGTATTTAGCTGCTCTCTTGGAGTTCAGCTATTGAATTTAATGCATTGTAAAAAAGGGCACTGATGCTACATTTTACAAAAAGGTGATAAAATAAATACATAACAAAGCTCATGATCCAAACACCAAGGGCAACATTTTCACACATATGCCATAAAAAATATTCTATAGCATTGCATAGGTTTGCAAAAAAAATTATTTCCTCAGGATTTAATAAACACCCACTGACAACCACATTCTTGCATGTAAAAATGAAGCTGGAAAATGTTAAAATCCAATTTACTTTTTTTTTTTAAAACAACTTCTATTTTCAAAAGCATATTCAAAGCATATTAGGGCACTAAAAAGGTAGATGTGGGTTACAAGGACACTTAGCTCATTTTGTTAATATGCATTCTACTGAAATCATTTTATCCTTATTTGTACCATTGAAAGACAGAGAGACATTTTTTTCTGATAAATGCAAAGAAGAAAATGAGGCACAAAAGTAGACATGTTGCCTGCAGTCACCAAACTTTTATTTAATAGGAAAATTAACTAGAAATCAGATTGGTCACTATGGGCATTTTTGCCGTGATTTTACTTATTCTGTAAATTGCAATCAGTTTCAGAGCTTCTTGAAGCTGAACTATGACTCAAGAGAAGTAAATGAAACCAGTTACTGAACAGACTAATCATAGTTACATTTTTCCTCTTTATTCATCCTTCATATGCCTAAATGTAATGACATTGAACAACCTTTTTACTGGCCCAGACCATGCTTCCTGTGTTCTTAAAATCATAGCGACTGCTGGCAAAATCTTTTAAATATGCGAATGGTTAATACACAGTGTAATGCCTGGGTATTTTTGAGGGCATTTAAGAGATAGCAATTCAAACTGTACATTTTTTTTAAGGTTTCCACTTAGAAAGGCATACCTGTAGTATATAACAGAATCACAGTCATACATTATTGTGTTATTAGTGCACACAGTAAAGCAGGTCAAGATGTACAAAAAGGTACAAAGGCAAATTAAGTTCCGTGAAACTAGTATACTGATGATCATTGTACAAGGACCCGATGAGAAAACTACTTTTCAATGGTTGTAACAAAAAAACAACAAGGTATTTTGTCTTTTATTTAGTAACAAATTAAACCTTGGGGGTAATGAGGACAGGGGAAGGGGGTGTATGAAGTACCTGGCAGGGTAAGCTTGAGGGTGGTGGGAAGCTGACAACATGAGTAGAGGAAGTGGGAAGGATAGAGGGACATAGGAGACAAGTATAAGAAAAAAAAAAAGGGGGAACAGTGGGGTTGTGCACAGAATTAACACTCAAGGAGGCTCCCAAAAGCCTTTGACAAGTTTACATCTTGTCAGAATATTCCTGAGAATAATGGAATTGGATTGATGTAGTACCACATTTTAGTGAATTCCTCTGTTTTATGCCTAAGGGTGCCAGTTTTCCATTGACATATAATCATTCACCCTGGCGAAACACTGACCCAAAGTAAGTGATTTGGATTGGTTCCAGTTACTGGGATTGGAATCTTTTGCTGCATTTTGTAGAATCATAAAATGCAATTTGTGTTAATTTTGTTTAGACAAAGGCAACAGGTGTAAAAACATTGCTCCCAGATCTGTAGATGGAAGGGTGATACTGGTGACTTGTTGCCAAAAAGAAAATTTGCAAGCTTGTACATTTGTCTGAATTACAACACCAGCATTCGTCACTCAGCTGTGGGTACAATTTGGAAAGGATGGAGAGTTTCCTGTACCATCTGGATGGTTTTGAAATTGATCTCCTCATATTTAAAGCAGATAAATGTCTTATAGGCAAAAAGTAGCGCCCTGTTTTTTTGTGTTGCCTGTAAGTGTAATCTGCACTTCTCTTTCCCACTTTTAAAGAAATGTGAGCTCAGGTAACTGTCCATAGATGGTTCTGAAAGAGCTGTGGAAAGGCCCTGCACCTTCTACCTTTTTGCCATCTTATTTTGAGAGTAAATGTGGTTGCATGGCTGCTAGTAATCAGGGTGAAAAGGTAGCATGGCCAAGAGCATGTCTTCACTTACATGCTGTAAATTTTATTTATGCATAACAGGACACTTTTTAAAAGTATAGCTGTCAGCACATTTGTTTTTCTACAGTTCATCCCATAAGTACATTCATATTTAATTTTAATTGTAACAATACTGATCACAGCTCACATCCTTCATTAGCCCTCACCTGGGAGCTTAGCAGGTGCCTGCCTTTGCTTCTCTCATGTAACTCAAACAAATACAATTGCACACCCCTGATTTTTCACTGAAGAACAGCGGTGTGCAATTTATTACAGGTATTTGTAGAGCGCCAACAATTTACACAGCGTTTAACATAGTGCACGTTCACATCAGTCCCTGCCCTTGCGGAGCTTACAATCTAAGGTGCAATCACATTTGTTTGAGATACATATTTCATTGTAGTTTCAAAGTTACTGATTTTTGGGTATTATTAAATGAAACAGAGCAAGGAGCAAAGTGCCGTATCCATAGCAACCCAACGAATTCATCTTTTCACAAAATCCATTTTGTACTGGTCTGATTTCATCAAACTGAGTTCTGATTGGCTGCCAAGGGTTACTGATCTTTTCTTTAAGTGCTTTACTCCCTGCATTGCTTACTGAAAACGCCTAAGATGTTTTCTAAAATGCATCGACACCGCAACACTAATCCTACCCAAATGTATTACAGGAACTACAGATGGCTAATGAATGTTGATCCCCAGAATGACAATAGTATTACTATAAGTATTCCATTGAAAACAAGATTTAACTAGTTATCCAGTGTCTACAAAAATGAAATAGTTTCCCATGACTGTAATTGTTTGTTGTGCTAATGTACCTGTCATACAGCTGGAAATTATCAATTTAAACAGTAATCCAAGAATAAACACCCCTCTTTACATTAGAATGTACTCTGCAGTGTGAATCCATAGGTATTCTGTTGTACTCACTGTATTTGGTTTTTGTGTGTATGGAGCAGTTTTCTGGGCACACGTCAGTGACCAACAATGAACTAAATAAATTGGGACAGCATTCCAGCTTTGCAGAGACTTTCCGGCAGAACTCTGACACTTGGTCTGACGTGCGGACGATCTTCACGGTTGCCCTGTAGGTTTTCCCTTTGTATCTGCAGGCGACAAAAGACATGAAATGCTGAGCATACATTCTCTACAATCACACCTGCATGCAGCTCTCTCAAGACCCATTTTCACATGGATGGGATTTCACATAATTGCCAGTTTTATTACAGATCACTAGGCTGCTTTGCAGAGATTACATATGGCAACACAGGTGATAAGAAAGTGAACTGGTTCTGTAACTGTAGGCCCATTTTCTTTGATTATATTACTTGATTACAGTGTATTACTTACAAGTCGGCAATCACCTCTTGAAGATTAACACCATCAGGTCTGCACCTGCTTAAGTTCATAGCTTTTAACAAGGGCTTGCTGAATGATACAAACAAGTTGTAAAAAGTATCCTGGCAATACAGGCTTCTCCAGCTGGGCAGCTTTAAGGGCAATAACAATGTGCAAACACAGTAACCCATAGCAACCAAATCATTACCACTTTAGCAGACTAAAATAAACTTATTCTAATTGGCTGAGCTTTTCACATCATTACTCTTTGTTTAATAAGCCCTTCAGTGTGTTACAGATTCATCATAAACAGGGCTGGATTTAAATGATATGCCCCCTAGCAAAGATCTTTCATCCCGGATGAGCAGCACCATCAAGTGGCCGGGACGACCTTCTGTGGATGATAGCACTGATTGAAGGCGAATATTGCAGTAAAAGCTGCTTGTTTGATTTTTAATAGTACAGGGCAATATTTTAGCTACCCACCCACCTACCTACCCTTTAGATTTGTTACATGTTCATATTTATTGCAGCTTACTTTTAGCATGCTCTTTTCTGAAAATGCCAATTGAAAAATGCTAGTTAGCTTTCCCCTTCTATGTAATGCTAAAGAGGAGGCTGGGGAGTAATGTTTACCATATTTATCCCTGTCTGTACTGTGCTGGCAGATCTGCATAATCAGTTGTAAACTAGATGTGCACACTTCTATTTTAACAAAGGCTTAAAAATATCAAGTCTTGGGTGGTACATTGTATGTTAAAGAGGCACAATATAAACTGCCTATAGAGTCATATATATAATCCTGCCCCCAAAAAAACAACTAGAAAGGTAAGAAGTATTTATTTTCTTAGGTATGCTGTGTGAACAGGAACATGTAACAAACATATAGTGGGAGATTCTCGAATTTGGCTGCAAAGGTGGAAATATACTTTAAGCAAAATAATCTTTTGTGTGCTCCCTTTAATTAATCCATTGATCTGGGAAACATTTATAATGTATGAATATTCACTTGTAAAACAAAGGTTGCATATAAGGATATTAAAAAAAACAGGTATAAAAACAGTTTAAAATGTATACATTTCAAAAGCACGACTTTAAAAACTGACCCAAAACCCAATAAATTTTTCCTATGAACAAAAAGCTTTACACTTCCATGGGGTGCACTTACTTTTTCCACATGAACGTAATACAAGTTAATGCACTTGCCCGGGAAAAATAAATGACTGGAATTTAATTGCACGTTTTGTAATCAATTCAACCACGGTATATATGCAAAGTTTGTTAGGGTACAAATAAGCAGATTTTGGAGCACCTTCTAGGATCATGAATATTACACTTACTGTTAGTCAGCTGCAGGAGGATTATCTGATTAGCTATTCTGTATATTTAAAAAAATGCTAGCATGAAAGTATGTCTTCATATTTACAGTAGATAAATAATGTAATTAGGTGATTCTAAAGTGCAAAAAATGTTTCCACCCGCCTAAAACTGTATGTATGTATGTATGTATCTATGTATGTATGTATGTTTGTATGTATGTATGTATGTATGGTATATGTATCTGTGTTGCCAATGCACATTACATATCTACTGTACTGTACATCTGTAAATCTGTATATATTTTATATGTACAGATATACAAATATATACAGATATACTGTACATAATAAATAGCCACAAATAGCCTGTAATTGACTTGGGGAATACCGTTACAATTGTTCATTTTGAATAATGATGTCAAAATACAAAAAAAACAAGGATTTTGTCTTCCACATGATTGGATGACTGAACACAAATTCACCTTATTTACTAAGCTAAGTGACTGTCCGCTTTCATACTTAAAGCCATTGCCACCTTTATAAGTGATTAGCATTAAGGCCCCATTCACACCTGACCGTTTTGTAGCGCGTCCTACGCTCGATGAACGCTCTACAAAACGGTCAAAAAAATAAATAGCATTGTAGTCAATGGTATCGTTCCCACCTGTCCGTATTTCCGCCCGTCCCGAACGCACTACAAAACGGCCCACGCATGAAAAGGTCCCGGAGCGTTTTTGCTGCGTATTGGTCTGGTTTGTAGGGAGTTTTCCATTTGGATACTGCCAAGTAGCCTTTGGAATCGCGCGACGGTCGCGCAACTTTTTTACCGCGAATCGCGGTAAAAAAAACGCGTGACGGTCGCGCGACAGACGCGCATATTACAATACGCATAGGTGTGAATGGGGCCTTATGGTGGTAATGTAGAGATGCAATGATGATGTATATGTGTGCACATTTTCATGACTCACGTTGCTGACTTTTTACAATTTTTAATGGACTTTTAAGTAGGCTTGAGTCCTACAAGTTCAACATTATCTCCACCGGAAACTCAGTCTAAGGCTGGGCACACACCTTACAACCATCGCAAGACTTTTGTCTTGCGATGGTTGTAAGGTACTTAAAAAAACGTACGATCTGCCTATCTTGCATAGACAGATCGTACTTGCGATGATCGCAAGCCACGCCCCCTGAGGGGCGGGCTTCCGATGACCGCAATGCCGAACGGGCAGTGTGCGCTTGCGCACACCGGCCCGTACGGCTGTTATCGTACGGACATGCCACAAACCCGCCGAACATCGTACGATGCTCGGCGGGTTTTCGAACATGTCCGTAAGTTTAAAGTCGTGCGACCTTACAGTAGTAGAGGTCGCACGGCTTCCACACACCTTACGATCATCGTATGATCGCGGGATTTCCCGCGATTATTGTACGATAATCGTAAGGTGTGTGGGGACCCTAACACTGGGGTCAGATTGTTTTGTACAAGCTGTAAAGTAGCTGACCCCCCTCCCTGTGCATTATTGTAACAAGATCACTGCACACCAGCTCTGCTGGAGGGAAGGGAAGGGGTTGCCACTATGAATACTAATGAATGGGGGAGAGAAATTATAGTTTCTGTGTTCTTATAAAGCAATTGCATATGCTTCATGTACACTCGATGTACATTGCAGACATATGGTTTTTTTTTTTAAATTGCTCCGCAATGGTGGAAATGGGCTTTCAAACGACTTGATCTTTCTATACGTAACCCTAATGATTAATTCTTAATAGATTATATAATATTAAAAATGTTATGCACAGCATCATATGTATCTTTTTTTTTTAAATAACTAACAGAAACAAACATAAATAAATAATAAATATTAGATATAACACAGCTTCCTATTAAAGCAATTGTAATTATAAATGGAATGTTTCCGCTCCTGAGACCAGTTGCTAACGCCTCTATTTCTTAAGAAACTGAAGTGAGCTGCAGATTTAACTGAAAATGGTCACTTCAAGGCTTAGTAAATGATCTCTTTAGGGTTGCTAGGAGATTAGAATTTACTCAATAAACCCTACCCAGATGATAAGCTCTTTACAGTACTCAATGTGACTCGAGAAAATGATTTAGAATCTGTTTAATTTAGGTATGAAGCCTATATTAAAGGGCTGAAAGAAAGGTGGAATTGAAATGCAATGACACATTTTTCATCACTATAAAAATGTTTGTTCATCCCAGTATCAACAACCTGAAGCATGGAGGTTTGTACAGGTTGATATGTAAGCACTCAACCTAACCCCTTATAATTTTATAAATCACTGCCTTTCACTGTATCACTGTACTAAATGTGAAGCCAGCCAGGCATATTTATAAAGTGTCGTCTGATATTTTTTGCCCCTACTCCAACACCTTCAATGGTTTGTTTATGACAGAAGAAAACATTTCAAAGCATAAGTTGAGCTCACAGCACACTGCGGTTACCCATCTTATAAATGATTTTTAGAATACTGTATAATACCGCTCATTAAAAATAAGCTGCAAATGCTGATTACAAGTTAAGATAAATTGACATTAAAATATATTTTTATAATATAGCTCTAAAATAAAGCATCAAAAATAGGAAATCATTTAAAGTGTAGTTTTTAAGATGTGTAGTAATTTTATCTTTCAAAGACCCTTCATATGCCGAACAGTCCTTTGGATTAAAGAAGAACTCCAGGCAAAATTTTTATTAACCCTTTGTTTAAAAAGTTATCACCCAAACCTCAGAGGTGACTTGCTCTTACACCGGTCCTTCCAGCCTTGCTCCCCCTCCCCTGTAGTGGTCTAAAGATCCTTGAGTCATCATGTCCAATATACTGTGCATTGGACGTTAGGACGCCGAGGGACCAACCATCGCTGCAATGTAGGAGGAGACAGGCTGAAGGGAGCACTGTAACAGCTGGTCGGCTCTGAGGTTTGGGTGAGTATAGCTTTTTTTTTAATTATTATTATTATTTTAGTCCCTAGACCAAAATGAGCAGTTAAACCTTGCAGTGCAGGGATTGCAAGGGTTAATAAACATTTTGCCTGGAGTTCTGCCTTAAGACATGATGTATGAGCAGCAGATAGGCTGTGTTTTTTTTCTCCTTTTATAAAGCCTCTAGATAGAAGTTAGGTTTAACACATTGTTTAAAGGAAGGAAAGGAAGACAGGTTCCTATGGAGCCTGACTATTAACTCTTTCTCTTCCATGCCCGCTTAACCTCAGCTGACCACACCATTTTTGCAATTTTTCACCTTTTATTTTAATTTTAAACTGCTGCTTTTAGTATTTACAAAAGACCCCCAAACCATATATTGTCTGAAAGCACAACTTTGGTAGAATAAAATGATGGTGCTACTAATTTTGTAGGTCCTGCAATAATTGCGCAAATGTTTATCAAATCGATATTAAACCGAAAAAAAATACACAATTAAATCAATAA